GAGGAGCGAAGCAATCGTCGATCAGGGATGGCGGTTACGGGTAAAAGTTAAAGAGTTTCGCAACAGGTCGGGCGAAAGGATAAATTCGAGGCTCCCCCACTTCACGCCCCACTCGACTCGTCCCTGCGAGTCGGATTTCTATCGCGAACGAAGGGAGAGGAAGGGATGGTAAATATATTCCGATGAAAATCGCGTAAAATGAATTAATGATGTCGAAATGAACGGTATAAGTGTTTTGGTAGGTTAATATATTTTTATGTATTTTTTTCTCTCTCTTCATCTTTCTCTTTCAAATTTATTTGGAAGTATATTTTTTTTTTGCAGAGAATTTGTAATTTTTTATTTTCTCGTAATTATAAATTTAATTATATATTATAGATTTAGAGAGATGGTAAATATATTCCCACATGAAATTGGGTAGAACGAATTAATCGCGTCGAAATTCAATCGTTTGGACAGTGAATATTTTTTAATCTATTTCTCTCTAACATACATTACATCGGTAGATACGTTTTCCGTGGTGATTTTTGTAATCGAGTTTTTTGTAATTGGACGTATTTATAAACGTGACATTGGCAACGAACGAAATTCAATTGCCCGTATCTTTTAACCTATTTATCAAATACAAATCCGTGATAAATTTTTCGCGAGAAATTAATCGAATCGAATTAATTGAATTTCTTCGTAATACGAACGAAATTATTTATAAATTTAACGGCAAATAAGATTATAAGATTTTCGAAAACCATCCAGATTAGTGGTAAATACCGTCGCGACGGTGACAAACAGAAGAACACAGAAAGTTCGGCGATTCTGTGGTGGAAAGATCTCGAAGCTGGAAAAGTTAAACGAGCGAGGTGTTTTCGAGGCGGCGTACGAATCGAAAAATTTACGAGACTTGTTCACGAGCGAGTAAATCAATACGTTGTCGCGAGCATCGCGCGCGATAAAATCCTCTATCGTTATTAGTAGAGAGGGCCGAGCTTTTCTCTCCCTTCATCCTGTCCCCTTTCAAAAGCCGCTTTCGATGCACACCCGCATTACGGTTTTCCGTCTCGCTGGCTCGCGCTGATTGGCTTCAGAATCGTCCAATTATTAATCTCTCATCTGGTTTTCCATGGAAAGCTAAACCGGTCAGGTGGCGCGTGATAGGTCGTTGCCAGAATCATTCGACTGCACGTATTAATCAAGTTTGTGGGCCAAGCATAACGAGTCATCTCTGTCGTTAGTTACGCTTCTCTCTTGTTACTGTACGTTTCATTCCGCTGTTTCGTATTTCGCTCGAGGCTCGGCTCGTAACGATAAACGACAACGTTCTTTAACGTTCATTGACGCAAATGTCGGTTATTGCGTTGTCAGATTCGCATTGATGCGCTGGCAAATCACGTCTATAATATCGTATATATAAGCGTTACATTTTCAATTACGTTGAACGCAATTTTATGGGAATAAAATTAGGAAAGCGGAAGCATCGATATTGCGGGGAAATCATCGTTGTACGATCGCAGCAGAATATTCTAACTTTGTTTGTTTTTCCTATTACCTTCTGGATTTATCGATGTAATTATTTTTTCCTGTGTCGTATAGAAAAACTTATAATTCGATAATAATGAGAAATGCACGCAAAAGTTCAAACATTCGAGATTAGAAGAAAAAAAACTCAAATAACGATATCCAATTATTAGTAATAATACGTAATAATACGTAAATTGTAAAACGCGAATCATCCTTTCTCCTTTAATTTCCCTGTAACAAGGAAAGAAGGGAAGGAATTAAAAAGAAAAAGGAATGAAATTTTTGAGGCCAAGCCGCAAAACGAAACTAGCGCGTCGACCGGTTAAATCGTTCCAACGTCGTTCTCCCTTTTTTATTTCGCGGAACGAAGCCGAGTTTCGCCTCGCCAAGTCACGAACAAATCAGCTGGAGGGATAAATCGCGGAAGGGTGAAACGATCGATCGCCCCTCCCTCCCCCCCTCGGTGGCAAATCGTTCTATTAATTTCGAAAGATTTTCGAAGGTTGAAAAAGTTTCGCGGTTAATCTTATCGACGATGGTTCGCGGCATCGATCG